CAAGAAAAGGAAATGTATACAGATTGAGAAGGAAGAACTAAAACTCTTTGTTCACAGATGATGACATCATTCAAGTAGAAAATCCAAAGAATCCCTCCTGGAAATACTAAGTATTTACAGCAAGGTTGCAAGATACAATGTGGTTAATACTCAAAAGTCAGTTGCCTTACTATATAGCAACAATGAACAAGTGGAATTTGAAATTAAAAACACTATCATTCCATTAGCGCTTCACAAGAAATGAAATACTTTCATAAATATCTACCAAAATGAAGGAAACTACAAAGCTCTGGTGAAAGAAATTGAAGATGACCTAAGTAAATGGAGAGATCTACCATATTCATGGTTGGGAAATTCAGTATTGTTACGATGTCAATTCTTCCCAACTTGATCTATAGATAAAATACAATCCCAATCAAAATTCAAGCAGGTTATTTTGTGGAAGTCAACAAAGAGAGTCTAAAGTTTATATGCCAAGGCAAAAGAGTAGGTACAGAGAACTCAATATTGAAGAACAAAATAAGAAGACTGATATCTGATTTTAAGATGTCTTGTGAACCTTTGGTACTCAAGCAGTGTGATATTGGTAAAAGAATAAACAAATCATTGAAATGGAATAGATAGCCCAGGAACTTACCCACATAAGTATAGTCAATTGATTTTTTACAAACAAGCAAGGCAATACACTGGAGCAGATAGTTTCTTCAACAAAGCATGCTGGAACTGGAGTAACTGGACATCTACATGCAACAGAATAAATCAAGATGCAGATCTTTCACCCTTCACAAAAATTAACTCTAAGTGAATCATAGACCTAAATGTAAAATGTAAAACTATAAATTCCCTAAAAGATAACATAGAAAAACACCTAGATGACCTTGGTTATGGTGGTGCCTGTTTAGATATAACACCAAAGGCACGGTTCATTAAAAAAATTTTTTAAGTTGAAGAAAAAATTTGTTTTATTTTATTTTTATTTTTATTAAAATAAAAACTTCTGCTCTGCAAAAGATGTCACAGACTATAAGGAAACAGCTGTAAACAACATATCTCATAAAGGATTATTATCCAAAATATAAAAAGAACACTTAAAACTTGACAATAAAAAACCAAACAACCCAATTTAAAAATGGGGGAAAGGCAGGCCTGAACAGACACCTCAAGAATATATACATAGGGGCGCCTGGGTGGCTCAGTTGGTTTAGTATCCAACTTCAGCTCAGGTCATGATCTCACAGTTCCTGGGTTTGAGCCCCACATCACGCTCTGTGCTGACAGCTCAGAGCCTGCTTCAAATTCTGTATCTCTTTCTTTCTCTCTGTCCCTTCCCCACTCATGCTCTGTCTTTCTCAGTCTCTCAAAAATAAATAAATGTTAAAAAATTTTTATTTAAATAAAAGGAAAAAACATATATATTCCACACAGAATAACCAATTAGATACACCAATAATTTCCAATACATAAATTCTCAATTATAATTTTCATGAAAACATAAGCATTTTGTATTTTAAAATCAACTATTACCACAATAGAAAAATAATTTTTTTTGAAAAATGTAATGAGGTGTTACAGATAGATATGACTAAAGCATTTATTAAGGTATATGAATGTAAAAAGAATAATCATTTTGCTTATTTTTTTAATGTTCATAAAGCCATATCAAGCTTTTAAAATAATTATTTAGATCTATTGGATGACTGTTTATTCTTTAGAAATAATTTTTCAGTAAAAATTGTTTCCTTTTAATTAAAAAAACACTGATAAAATAAATTCAACTTGTTATTCAATAATAAACTCTCTCATTATTTTTAAAAATGTTTTTATTTATTTGTGTGTGAGAGAGAGAGAGACAGCGTGAGCAGGGGAGGGTCAGAGAGAGAGGAAGGTACAGAATCTGAAGCAGGCTCCAGGCTCTGAGCTAGCTATTAGCATGGAGCCTGACACGGGGCTCGAATCCACGAACTGTGAGATCATGACCTGAGCTGAAGTCAGACGCTTAACCGACTGAGCCACCCAGTGCCCCGAATAAACCCTTTTAAAATGCCATTGAAAATAGAAATATAGATTACATGTTATGAACCTATCATTGGCAAGGTAGATGGAATTTAAGGCCAACTGTAAGACTTTACCTGAGACTTATCTGTGTGTGTGTGGTGGGGGGGATAGGGAGGGTGCATGAATAAGCACTGATACCTAACAAAGACAGAATTCTATTAGGGAGAAAATGAACAGAGGTTAAGAGGCTATCAACACTATTTATAACACATATTATTTTGTATATATTGCTACCAAGTTTTATTCTGCTTATGAAAACAGAATTGTATTATCAATTGATTAATTCACAAAGTTAATTTTAGTAAAAAGATTATGTATTTGCATTTAGCTTAGTGTTTTTCACTTCCCTGAGATTTTCTCTTTGAAACATTAATTATTTAGAAATTTATTGTGTAATTTACAATATTTTGGAGACTTTTCCTATTATTTGTGATTTTAGTTTAATTCAGTTAGGATCACAAGGCATATTATTTATGGTTTTACCTTTTAAAAAATATGCTAATGTTTGTGTTATGACCTAAGATATGGTCTATCTTGGTGAATGTCCCATACATGCTGGAAAAGAATGTGTATCCTGTATTAGTTAATGGTATTGTTCAGTTCTTCTGTATAGTTGTTGACTTTTTCTTTAGTACTTCTATACAATACCAAAAGAGGTGTTCGAGTCCCAATTTTAACTATGAATTGACCTATTTTTTTCTTTCAATTCTGGCAATTCTTGCTTTGTACTATTTTGCAGCTCTGTTGTTTGGTGCATATACATATATTGCTTTTTTTTTTTTCATGACCTAGTACTTTTATCATATGCAATGTACCTCTTGGCAATTTTCTTTAGTTCTGAAGCCTACAGCCACCTTAGTTTTCTTTAGTGTTTGCATCATATATATATTTTTCATTCTTTTACCTACCAATACCATTATATTTAAAGTGAATTTCTTTTTTTTATTTCTTTTTTATTTAGAGAGGGACAGAGAGCAAATGAATGGGAGAGAGGGAGAGAGAGAATCGCAAGCAAGTTCCACGCTCAGTGTGGAACCCAATGCAGGGCTCAATCCCACGACCTTGGATCATGCATGACCTGATCCAAAATCAAAAGTTAGATGCTCAAAAAACTGAGCTATCCAGGAGCTCCCGAAGTGAATTTCTTTTTTTTTTTTCTTAAAATTTAAAAAATGTTTTATTTATTTCTGAGAAAGAGAGAGAGAGACAGCGTGAGCAGGGGAGGGCCAGAGAGAGGGAGATACAGAATCTGAAACAGGTTCCAGGCTCTAAGCTAACTGTCAGCACAGAGCCCGACACGGGGCTGGAACCCATGAACCATGAGATTGTGAACTGAGTCCAAGTCGGACGCTTAACTGAGCCACCCAGGTGCCCCATGAATTTCTTGTACACAACACGTGGCTGGGGCTTGTTTTTTATCCATTCACTGAGTATGTCTCTTAATTGTTGTGTTTAGACCATTTACATTTAATGTAATTATTAGTGCGTTAGGATGTAGGTCTGTCATTTTTTTTTTTTCCCCGTTTCCCCTTATTTGTCCTCAAGTGGGCTTGAAATGAAATTCAAGTGAATTTATTTTTATAGTAAATATTTTTGTTTATATATGTGTATATATTCTTTTTATATTTTACATATAAAATATTTTAATACATTATCTACTATTCCATTTTGATTTGCCTACATTAAAATATTTTTATATAGTATTTTCAATGGTTACACTATGGATTATAATATACATACATAATTTATCACAGTCTACTAGTATCGAGTTACCTCTTCAAGTGGAATGTAGGTACTTAATCACCATTTAGGTCCTATTATCATTCCCTCTCTTATGTTACAGTTGTTTTCAGTATTACCTCTACATACATTGAGAATCACATCAGATGCTATAATTTTTGCTTTTAAGTGACAAGTACAACTACACGTGTACTTGTCTTTTATAAGAAGCTCAGTGTGTACCCCACTACTCATTTACTCAACATTCAATCATCCATGAATCTGAGACATTAACCACTTTCCCATACATTACACATTTCATCCACCCATCCATGATTCTTGAAATTCATCTTGATACTTCCATTATATTATAACCGGTATGTCTCTAAGCCCAACCTCTGAAATCGACATTCCTTTCTCTTTCCTTTTCTTTTCAACTCATTCATATTGCTTTGTAAGTATTTACATTTACTTCATGAAGAAGTTTTCCCAACTGGGCCAGAAGCTTTTTGGCAATGGGTTTCTATTTATTTTATATCTTCCTCTAGGACTTGCAGTATTCTACCACCTGATGTGATAGATAACCCTATGAATTCACTGCCTTCTGCATGTCTACTGATTTAAAAAAAAAATCAGCTACGTATGCACTCACTAGATCATGCACGAAGTTTTCCACAACACTTATTCATTTACCTAGCACTAGCACCCAAGACATTTGCCCATAAGGAACCTGTGAACATGAATTGTTCCAGAAGAGCACAAATTTTGTCAAAACTCCTTAAGCTTAAGTTTGCTCTAAAAATGTCTCCATGGGGTGCCTGGGTGACTCAGTCAGTTAAGCGTCCAACCTATGCTTGGGTCATGATCTTGCAGTTCGTGAGTTTGAGCCCTGCGGCTGGCTCTGTGTTGACAGCTCAGAGCCTGGAGCTTACTTCAGATTCTGTGTCTCACTCTCTCTCTCTGCCCCTCCTCCTTTCATGTTCTGTATCTTTCTCAAAAATAAACAAACATTAAACAAATTTATAAAAAACTCTCCATAACATCCTTAGAAAGCACTTTGTCCCAAATATGTAGCTATGCAACTGTCAGGTATCATTTCATAACTCCACCCCACCTCACACACATGTGCATGCGTGCACACAGACACACACACACACACACACTCTTTCACACAGTACCCAGTCAGTTACCCCATTTTGGATAGGAATAATTTATTTGTATGAATATGATTTTAATAATATTCCCTAAGTATTTAATAATCAAGGATTCTTCCAAATCAGAAAAATTTAACAAATATGTCAAATATATATTGATATATATTATATGTATACATATACTTTAAAAATCTCTTTCTGCAATGTGGTTTTTAATTTTGAACTTTTCATTGATAGAAAGAGTGAAGGATTCAAAGCTGGTGTATAATTTGATGGGGTTTTCCAGTATATATTGATCGAAATTTTTAAGTTTATTGCAAATATAAATTAAGCTTGCTCCAATTCCACAAGAACACCACCACAGTCTTTAGGATGGAGAAAAATCACTGGTTTTCCATGTGCTCCTATTTTAGGATCTTCACTTAGACTACGAATCTTCTTCTCTTTCAAATCCATGACAGCTGCATTTATATTATCCACCTGAGAAAAGGAAATAAATAAGAACACATTTGAGATCACAAAAATACCAAATTTTAGTATCTTAAGACTTTGGAGAAACTATCTCCTTTAGCAGCCTTAGGCAGAATCATTCTTAAACCATCACAAAAATAAGCTTAATGCTTCCAGAGAAGTAAAAGAAGTTGCTAGATTTTCATAGGTGAGCAACCACAATGGTTAAGAATCTTCACCATTAGTAAACATTTCTCCTTATAACCTAAAAAGTGTATGTTATAATTTATAATATTTTCTTCTAGCAGTACTCTTGGTGATATTGCACATACTGTTTTTTCTTAAAAGCCCTGGGTTCTTAATTTACAATAGAGAGAAGAGGCCTACCATATAAATGGGGAAGCGATTAAAATGGTAACAGGTAAGAGGTTCTTAGCAGTTTATGACATAGGTTGTAGTAAGTACTCAAAAGATAGGAGTGGTTCCCTGGATCCCCAAACCAACCACCTGACAAACCACCTGGTTATTACTTTTGAGATTAAAACTTCATATACATGACAATCACTATTAAATTGCCACCAAAATGCTCTTCCCCATTCTGAAAAATCCAAACATTTATCATTTTATAACTCCCTTCTCAATCATTTCTATTTTCTTCATATTTACTGGCAGTCTAGGAAAGGAGCAAATGTGTTTCTATATACTTCATGAAAGAATGATTCTCTTCTACTTTAGAAAGTCATCCTCCTTAGACTGGCCCAGTTGAATGAGCATCTGACTCTGAAAATATAAAGATTTTTTTAAAAAACTTAAAAAGTTTATTTATTTATTTTGAGAGAGAGAGTGTGAGCGGGGGAGGGGTAGAGAGAGAGGGAGACAGGATCTGAAGCAGGCTCTGCACTGACAGCAGAGAGCCTGATTCAGGACCTGAACTCATGAACTGTGAGATCATGACCTGAACTGAAGTCAAATGAACCATCCAGGTGCCCGAAAATGAATAAACTTAAAAAAAAATACTTTACAGAAATACAAAAGGTGACTTATTCATTCTCCTACTAATAAACATTTAGGTTAGAAGAGAAACTTAGACCCTTTTCAATGGTTAGATGCTAAATTGGCCTTCTTTGGTATTGCCAATAGAACACAAGAGAGCTTGGTGACTGAGTTCATGGGCAAGATTCCACTGGCATTTGAAGCCATAAGCACATGCCAGGAACTGATGGATACAGATTTTTTTTAAATTAAAGCAAAATTTTAAGGGATGGAGAACCAATTGAGATATCCTACCAAAACTGAGCTATAGAAAAAGAGAGAAAAGAGAGAAGATGGAGTGACAGCAGCAATATCTGAAGATATAACTGATAATTTTAATAAATGAAGGATTTCAGTCCTCAAGTTAAAAGTAAACTTAAGAATTAATCAGGATAAAGATGAATAACACCTGTACATAGAACAGACAAATTTAATAACATAAATGATACAGAGAATACCTTAAGAGCTCTCAGGGAAAGACAATAACTACCTACAGTTGAACTGATGACAAATTCTTAATAGCATATATTTACATAAATATACACACATATACATACATTTGTACACAATTGAAGTATTATGGATGAAGGTACATGATGTCTGGAAATGGCTTCAAATTAACTTAGGAAGAGGGAAATATGATGAGGAAGGGGTATAAATGAAGATTATCCATGAATTGATAACTGTTAAAATTGGGTTTAGGTTCATGAGAGTTGATTATAATATTGCCTTTATTTTTTTAAGTTTATTTATTTTGAGAGGGAGAGATAGTGAGTGTGGAGAAGAAGCAGAGAAAGAAGGAGAGAGAGAGAATCCCAAGCAGACCCTGTGCTGTCAGTACAGAACCTGATGTGGGACTGAAACTCACGAACAGTGAGATCATGAGCTGAGCCAAAATCAAGAGTTGGATGCTTAACTGACTAAACTACCCAGGCACCCCATATATTTTAAGGTTGCCTTTTTTTAATATTCAAAAATTTATGTAAGTTAAAATAACAAGGTTAACAACTAAAAAACAGGGGCGTCTCAGTCGGTTAAGTGTCCGACTTTGGCTCAGGTCATGATCTCACGGTTTGTGGGTTCGAGCCCTGCATCGGGCTCTGTGCTGACGGCTAGCTCAGAGCCTGGAGCCTGTCTCATATTCTGTGTCCCTCTCTCTCTCTGATCCTCCCCTGCTCATGCTGTCTCTGTCTCTGTCTCTCTCTCTCTCAGAAATAAATAAAACATTTAAAAAAATAACTAAAAAACAGAACTAAAAACTGTAGCCTCTAAAATAGCAGAAGGGCATTGTCTGGGTGGCTCAGTGGGTTAAGCATATGACTTCAGCTCAGGTCATAATCTCATGGTTCGTGAGTTTGAGCCCTATGCTGACAGCTCAGAGCCTGGAGCCTGCTTCAGATTCTGTGTCTCCCTCTCTCTCTGCCCCTCTCCCACTTGTACTCTGTCTCTCAAAAATAAATAAACATTAAGAAGATTTTTAAATAAAATAGCAGAAGAAGGAATGTAAAAAAAAGCTTCTCAATCTAAAGAAAAGCAGAAAGAAGGGGAAAATAACAAAAACCAAAAAAAAGGATATGGGGATGAGCACTGGGTGTTATGTGGAAACTAATTTGACAATAAACTATTTGTAAAAAAAAAAACACCAAAAAAGGGTAAAAAGAAAATACTATATAATACAGCAGGAAATAAGTTCCAATATGGAAGACATATTAAATGTATGAATTATAAAATGAGATTATCAAAATGAATATAAAATTTAAAAAATAATTTTTATTGAATATATCTACCCAACAAGAAAAAAATTCAGCTATATGCTCCCTAGAAGAGACTTACCTACACAAAACCACAAAAGATGAGTAAAGGGATGGAAAAAAAATATTCCAGACAAATATTAACCAAAAGAAAGTTGATACAATAATATTAGTATCAGCTAAAACAAAATTCAAGGCGAAATACAGTAAATAAATAGACAGATAAAACCTATAAATAAAATGAACAATCCACCAAGATGACAAAACGGTATCGATTCTTCGTGTACCTAACACTACCTTGAAAAAGAAAAGGCAAAGGAACATCCACAGCTCTCAGTATCTGATAGATCTATCAAGCACACAAAAGATTAAGGATAAAGACAAGTTGTAAGTTCTTTGAATACTCTGGATATAAGTCCCTTATCAGATATGTGATTTGCTAATATTCTCTCCCATTCTGTGAATTGTTTTTATACAAAATGTTTTAATTTTAATGTTTTTGGTGTTATATCTAAGAAACCACTGCGCAGTTAAGGTCAGGAAACCTTATGCCTATTTTTTTCTTAAGAGTTTTATAATTTTAGCTTTTAGATTTAGGTCTCTGACCCATTGGTAGTTAATTTGTATATATGGTATAACAACTTTGTGTTTTTTAAAAATGCTGTATTGACCCAGTTCTGAGGCCCTGGCTAGAGGCTGGTCAGTTCTTGAGCAACTGATAAAAGGCCACCTCTCAACCATCTACCTTATCAGGCTCTCACACTGTGGGGCTATTAGGTACCTACTCTAATTGCTCCAGATACAGATGCCAAACAACCTCAGAGCCCACAGAATTATTCAGGTTAGCCAATCTAAAGGGAACCTATGAAACCTAACTGCACCCCATTTGCTTCATTAAGCTGCCCTCACAACTCCAGCTTGCTGTTACTCTGTCCCAAGGTGCAATCTCATGTGGCCTACATGGCAGCTTTCTGTCACTTGGAGCTCTAAGGAACAAAGAGTTTGCTTTTCATCTACCTGAGTGTCAACGATTGTCTACACTATCAAAAGAATCTTTAAATCTTATAAAATGTAAGATGTGAGGCAAGTGTTCTAAAACATTCTTTTGCATGTGGCTATCCAGCTGCCTAAATGCCATCTGTTGAAAAGACTGGTCTTTCCCCATTGGCTGGTCTTGGTACCTTTGTTGAAAACTTACTGTAGATATAAGGATTTATGTCTGACTCTCAATTCTACTACTGACCTCTATGTCTATCCTTATGCTGGTACCACACCATTTCGATTACTATAGCATTATATAGTTTTAAAATCAGGGGGTGCCTGGGTGGCTTAGTCGGTTAAGCGTCTGACTTTCGCTTAGGTCATGATCTTGCGGTTCGTGGGTTCGAGCCCCGCATCGGGCTCTGTGCTGACTGCCAGCTCAGAGCCTGGAGCCTGTTTCAGAGTCTGTCACTCCCTCTCTCTCTGACCCTCCCCTGTTCACACTGTCTCTCTCTCTCTCTCTCCTAGAAATAAAAAAACATTTAAAAAATTTTAAAAAAATAAAATCAGGAAGTGTGAATCCTCCAACTTTGTTCTTCTCTTTAAAGATTACTTTGGCTATTTGGAATCCCTTGCATTTCAATATGAATTCTAAGATAAGTTTGTTCATTTCTGCAAAGATGCCAGCCAGAATCTGATAGGGATTACGTTAACTCCATATATCAATGTAGAGAATGTTGCCTTCTTAAAACAAGTCATCTGATCGTGGCATAGAATTATCTTTTTTTTAAAGATTTAAAAAAATTTTTAATGTTTATTTTCGAAGGAGACAGAAACAGAGTGTCAGCAGGAAAGGGGCAGAGAGGGAAACACAGAATCCGAAGCAGGCTCCAGGCTCCAGGCTCCAAGCTGTCAGCACAGAGCCCAACGTGGGGTTCGAACTCACAAACTGTGAGATCATGACCTGAGCTGAAGTCGGACACTTAACCGACTGAGTTAAGTCGTCCTATCTTTCAATTTATTCAGGTCTTCTTTAATTTTTTTCAACAATGTTTTGTAGTCTTCAGAGCACAATTTCTGCAGTTCTCTTGTTCAGTTGATTCCTAAGTATTTTACTCTTTTCAATGCTATTATAAATGGAAATGTTTTCTTAATTTCCTTTTCAGATGTACGGAGTTTTAAAAAATCCAGATACATAATCTTTGCATTTTAATTAATGTTTAATCCAGTTACATTTAATTAACATTCATATATTTGAATTTGTCT